AATTAAAACAAAAAATAATATTATGACCCCACCCTATTATATGTGTAATACAAGTAATACATACATATATATATATGAACTATAATATTAATATTTATTTACTTTATTTCATGTTCATATAAATGTACATACATATACATATAGAAATGGAACTGTCAATTTCACATTTGAAAAAATCTCATATTTATATAAATAACATAAATGTTTGTATATGTATTAATGTATGTATGCATGTATGTGCTCACGTTCGGTTATTTCAGAATTTGAGTTTCTTCTTTAATTTATAAAAGGAATTTGTTGTATATACCTGATATTTATTTATGAATTTATTGTTTATTATTTTTATATGCTTTAATTCCTTCATAGTTTATTTATTTATTTCATTCTCGAATGATTTTTATTTTACAAATTATTAAAGAAAATTAAAGTACTCGTATTGTATATGTATAGGGGTTTGTATTTTTTTGATGTTTGAGTAATAAAAGAATAAAAACGAAATTTAAAATTTTCTTTTTTAAAAAATATTAAATTATTCTTGTTATAAATATTAAAATTATTTTTTTTTTCTTTAATTACCAATAATTGCAAGAAAATTAAAAATTGAATCCTAGATGTATGCAATATTTTGTGAAATATGAAAAGTTCAGTTTTTAAGAGAATTTAACACATTCATACACAATTGTAATTTAACCAAGAAATTTAATATAATAAAAATAATATAATAGAGTTATTCACATAAAATTAATTAAGATATCTATTAATGACATAAGATAATACTTTTAAAAATCGCTCACCAAATCGTTCTTTATTGATCGAATTAAAATTCTCATTAAAACGAAATTCGAATGATTACGTTTATATTCACACTTTAAAATTATAGTAACAATGTATCAATTATACTACATTTCAGCTTACGAGTTTCAGTTGCTGTATTGAATATCAGTACCCCATTACTTCAATATTATAATCTGGAATTAAAATGCACAAATAACCTTTTAGAAATTTAAGTGTGCGTGTTTATATCTACATTTATAATATTTTAAATAATTCCAAATGCAATAAACGGCAAATTTTGCTCAAATCAGAGTTGAAATTGCTAAATTATCATAAGAAACAAAAATTGGTTGTTTCAATAATAAAACATTCCTAAATAAGAATACTAAATACATTTGTTTCTTTTTTTTTAATATGAATCATGATAGCTAAATATGATTCATTCAATTAAAATTCATTATTTTTTTCTTGTAACAAAAATAGGTCAATAATAATTTCAAGAAAAATAAAATATTCAAAATTCATAGTTTAAATAAACAAAACCCTAGTCTGTACACACTTAAATTATGGTATTTATTATTAGAAATTTTCATATTATTCATAAATTTTTGATTTCCTCTTAAATATTTTTCATTAAATTTTTTTATTTGAAATTATTAGAATTTAATTATTATTAGAATAATTTTCGTTTTAACTTTCTGTATTTGAAGAGGAAAGCTAGCAACGTGTGTAATTAAAATTTTCCTAAAAGATAAACAAATTTGAATTTTCTTAAATCAAATAAAAGTTAAATTTTCAATTCAATTAGAATATTGCGGCTATTCAAGGAAAATTTGAATATTCTACCATTTGTTTTGACTTATTTTGAATAATACAATAGAATTGTTTGTTTTGCTTATTTTTTGCATTTACTATTCAAATTTAAAAAGAAAACGTAGTAATTCAATTATTGGGAATTTTAAATATTGGGTGAATAATATCATTTGATATAAATACTGGTTATCGTCAAAAACGAAAAAAGCCGGATAACTAGTATTTTTGTGTTTTCTTTATTATCCAAAAGCGTTCAGTGCTAAAAATTCGTGCTCATTTTTACGATTGGAGCATAGGTACACAGATAGCTCTCTATACGTATTCATACTCGTAAGAATATTTGAATTTCTAAGGCGTCATATATAAATTATTTTGACAGTTAAAATTTGAAAAAATGTTAAATGCCAAAAGAAGCTTGTTTTTTTAATCAAAATGTTCAGATTATAAGTTTTTCCCTCTGATAAAAGACTCATTATAACCACTTTCATCCATCTTTTATTTCTAGCTTTCATGTTATTTAATTTATATTTATAAATAATAAGGAAGTTATTCTTTTTTTTAATAAATTATCATAATTAAATATTATTTAATAACAAATTTAGAAATCAAGGTGTTAAAATATCAAATAAGTAATTTGTTTTTTTTTTTCTTCCAGGATAAATTAAAATCACATCATCGCTATAAAAACAACAATAATAACATATAGTAATAACAAACATTTTCTCAAGGCGAAACAAATAAAAATAAAACATAAAATTTTAAAAATATATATGTATATATATATATATGAATTTATATATGTATGTAATATATTAATAAGGAAGTGAATTTCTATGTTTATTTACAAACAGAGAAAAAAAAGTATATAATTGAAAATATATGTAATTTTTATTTGTAATAAAAAAAAACAACACTTCAAAAGCACCCCTGTTATTATATGGATAAGAGAAAATATTCAAAGAGAATTTTTCCAAATCCAAAACAAACAAACAACAATTATTCATTCAAAAATAAAAAGATCAGCAATTATAACGTCAACATTAATAAACACTCTCTTTATATAATTATCAACAATATAATTTCAATTATATTATTATATTAAATTCATATATGTGTATATAGGTACATATTTTTTGTAATGTGTATGAAATACTGTGCATATGTGTGTAACGTGGGCAATTTACTTGCAAAATTCAAAATAATCTCATTGCAATTCAAGTATATTATGAGAAAGAATTGAAATGAAATCATTTGAAAAATAAAAACTCTGTTTTTATATTTTCACATTTGAATATAATTTATTTATTTCAATAATATCATATATGTATTAGTATATATGTGCATGCACGCATATAATAAGTTCAATATTATGTAAATAAAAAAAAAGTATCTGTAATGGAATAGTGTGAAATAAACACAGTAAATATAATAAATATAATTATAATGAACTTATTATATACTATTGCTGTGCAATAAACAAAAATATTTTATAATTCAAATTTGTGTAAATCATGCACATATTTTTAATGTATACCTATACATTAATGTATGAATGTAAGAATATTACAATGTATGCATATTGTACATATATATAATATAAAAGATGTCGGTTGGTACCTGAAATTTTATTTTATACTTGATAATATGCGAAAAATGGAATAAAAACAAAAAAAAAAATTCTTTTTCAATAATTTTATTGTAACAAGTAAAGAGAGAGAGAGAGAGAGAGCGAGTGAAAGAGTGAGAAAGCATTTTAGCATTAACGGTATAATAAAAAATTTTCATATAATTGTGGAAAAATTTCTCTTCTTTTTTTTTATGTTTTTCTTATTAATTTTCTTATGCATTTTTGTTGCAAATTTTTTTTTTTTTCTCTTCTTTTGAGGAAAAATCTTGAAAATATTCAAGAACATTTAAATGGAAATTAAAAAAAAAAAAATTTCCTTCCTATTATTTTTCTGTTTTTTTTTTTTTTTTCTTTCTTTAACAATATATTTATATGAGATGTTGTTGTTCCACCATGTTTACGGAATTAAAAAATTCACTGAAAAAAATAATATACACAGAGAAAAAGACAAGAAGTAAAAAAATAATTTAAAATAAGTGCAAAAAATATTAAAAATATAAAAAAAAAGAAAAATGTAATGAAATAAAAAAAATAATTGTGAAAAATTCGCAGTAAAGATTTTTCTAAAAATTAAACATAAAAAACAAAAAAATTTAACAAAGTTATTATGTAATGGATGACATTAATAAAATTATTGAATATTGACATTCATTTTTAATTTGATTAAAAACTATTTAAAATTGAAATTTCAAATGAACATAATATAAACTTAATAAATGGGAAAGAAAAAGATGTGGAAGAAGAAAAATAGGAATTGATTACAGAAATTAAAATAATTTTTAAAAATTTATATGAATAGCAGTTATCGAAAACAAAATCTTACTATTAACTTATGTTATAATAAACACTTACTTTAAATTAAAAAATAAATTATAAATAAATATTAAATAAAGTTATAAACAAAAATTAAAAATAATTATTGAATTTTTTAGTGATTACGCCATTGGTTAATTATTTTAATTGAGTACAATTATGTCGTTGATTAATTAATTTAATTTAGTTTTTTTTTTCAATATATGAACAAAATTTTAAGAATTATTAAAAGCATAAGATATTTTATTTTTAAAATAGTAACCTATTGTGAATTAAACGAAATTTAATTAATTAAAAAAAAAAAAAACAAAGTAATAATAAATAATTGTGAATTGTGATTTTTATTATAAATTAATTGTGGCATGACAAATACTATTGCAAAATATGAAAAAATAAATGAAAATTATTATTAATTTATCCTTTGTTACAGCTGCATAATTTTAAGCTGCTTCTTAATTAAATTCTCATTATTATATTAAATACAGAGTGATTTACAAATTAAGAATAATAATTATTGTATATACTTATATTATAATAATAATAATATTAATGAATTAATTTAAAAATTTTTATAATCAATTTAAATTTCTTTACGATATTCAAGTAGTGTAGATGAAAAATTTTAAAATTATAAACGTGAAATATAATTTTATGTATTTACTATTGTTTATAAAATAATTATATTTATTTTATTAATATTTATTATAAAATTAATTAATAATTTTACTTATATTCATTACTTTAAATGAAACTAATAAATAACAATAATAATCTAGAATAAACTTATATAATTCATTTACAAATAAAATTTTATTTAAAACTCCTTAAGTTTCTCATCAAAATTTTAAATAAATACTTACTTATAAATTATGCTATTTGATTATAATTAAAAATATAATATTTAAATTTTTTGATTCTAATTTTTTTATTGTTTTTTTCTATTCTTTGTTTCTATATTTTTATTCATTTTAAGGCTTTCATGCCTCAAAAAAGGCAACAAACATTTTAAGTGTTATTTTAGATTGAACTGAAAATACTTATATATAAAATTATTATTTAAAATTAAACTATACATACATACATATAATATACTGTTATATTATAATTATATATTATTATATTTATTTCAAATAATAAATTGTAAACAGCAAAGTAAATTATAAAATAATTTCATATTTGAGAAAAAAAAAAAAATAAAATCAAATCAATTAAAAAAAAAAAATTAATGAAGAAATTTGTTCTATGCAAGTAAAATTATAATGGCTAACAATAAATCAAAGGATAAAACAAAAAAAATAAAAAAAGAAAAAATAAAAAATAATAAGGAATCAAGTACGAGATTAGATATTGATTTATGGGAGGTAAGTGATGATAATTGAAATAAATTTAATAATAAAATTATTGTAGGTTTTGGTATATAGGTCAATATTTTTATATAGGAAATTTACATTTTAGTATAAATTATATAATATCGTACCCATATAATTTTTATCATGCTGTTATACATGATAAATATGTATTACATACATGTATAACCAATTACAGTTAGTATATACCTCGGCTAAATATATTTAAGCATATAAATTCAAAACAGAAAATTTCTTTTTTGTTTTCCACTCCTTATTTGTTTTTATTTAGAAAATTTTGTAATTATAATGAGAAAATATTAAATTGGATTATAAAAGAATAAAAATTAAATAATTAAATGATAATTAAAAATATAATTATAATAAAATTATAATCCATGGGAAATTTAATTTACTTAATTATGCAAAATACGAGAATCAACTAAATTTTTTTATACATTTAAATTTTAAATTCTGGCATTTTGTTATTAAATTTATTTCTATTTCCAGAATCAAATTTGAAATTAATTTAAAGCGAAGTTGTTTTATACGTTGATTGTTATTAGGATTTGATTAGTTTTGTGTCATATTTTCTATTTTTCAAAACTGTTTATTAACGAAACTGTTTATTTTTCGTTCAAAATTTTAAGTCGAATTTTGTTTTAATTTGCTATTTTCGTAAAGTAAACTGCTAAAACGCCTGAGCTGGACTATCTGCCTTTACTAGAAGAGCTTCGCCAATTGTTTGAACTCTCATAATTTCTGTTTTGTTAATATAGGAATATGATGTCAGTAGTCATTAAACTCATTAAACATAAATTTCACAAACTTAACTTCTTGGAGCTTGTAGACATAGCGAGTTTGCTTGTAGACATAACAGTATGACTAATATAGAGTTGGCTATCTCATCGAAAATGCATTTACATTACGATACATCGGATAAACTGACATGTTGCTAAATACGAGACAACGTTTCGGGACATGATTCAATGTTATATGGGTAAAGTTATTAAAACTGACATATTTGTCAATTTATCTAAATTTGTTTTTTTCGCTAAACTTTATTAATTACAACAAATTTGAACAAAATTTTAAAAATATTTACTTCAACTAAGTTCAAATCTAATTTTAAATTTATTTTTTTATGAACACCATAATTAAAATATTTATCAATCTCACTGTTTTGAAGAATTATTCAACTTTATTTGCTTTTCACAGTCAATAATTGTTTGTTTTTTTATTGCATAATTAAATTTATTCAAATATAGACTAAAAAATATGAAAGTTGTTTTCTATTTACAAGTTCAACAAATAATTATAAATTTTTTATCATTCTTTCTAAAAAATTTTAATTTTTATTTCATATTTTTATAAATTTCTTTTATATAAATAATAAATTATAAAAAAATTTTAGAGGTAACAGTCATTATTATCCTTTTTATATTGTATATTAATGATTTAAAATTGGAAAGATTTAAAATTTATAGAAATTTTATTTGCCGGAAGCGGATACCGGAAAGGAATGTAGCAAAAAACAAAACACAAGAAAAAAACACTGATTTTACTTGGGATGGAAAAGTTGAAAGCAAATTCTTCTTAAAAAATATTAAGTTCAGTTTTAGTTTTGGTCCCAAAACATCTCATGTTATGGCTAAAAAATTATCAAAATAAAAATTGTGTGACAGACCTTTCGTAAAGCTACAAACGAAAATTGAACTGCTTTTTGCATTATAGTGACAAAAAAGTGCTGCGACTGCAATTCTATATCTTAGAATTTATCCCATTTATTTATATGTAATTTATTTATTTATATGTAATCGCTTTAATCGTTGTATCGTTTTTATTCATAAGCTTGTGTTTCCGGGTATCGAGACTCTTTCGTTATTATAAAGTATTTCTTTTTGGAATAATATAAGAAATTTAATATTTGCTTCATTATAAGTTGACTTATATTATAATCTTATACAAATGATTTTTTTCATATTTTATTATTGCATTGTTTAAAGTATTGGTCAATGTTGTAACTCTAACTATTTATACTAATTATCATCTTCCAATAAGTAATACTGGTCGTTGCTTTTGCATGTCAATAAGATATTTAATTGCAAAGTATGAACGCAAATTCATATTATAATCTTGTCGAATAATATTAATATTTCTAGATTCCTTAATAATCCTGTATGAAAGTTTTAAAAGCTACTTTTTCGACATTCTTTTTTGAATGAAACAACTTTCATCTATACAAAAATTCATTTAAAGTTTTTAAACATTTAATTTATTATTACTAACATTAAAAATAATGTTTAAAAATTTATGACTAAATTTTAAAAAATTAAAAGCTTAAAAATTTTTAATGAGCCAAAATTACTTATTAAAGTTTTTATTTAAAATTTTTTTTTTTTGTATGTTTTTATAGGAAAAAGTAATCAAATTATGGGATTATTTTCTTCTATACTTCTTCAGGATATTGAATAAATACTCCATTATATATATATATACATTTGCCAATATAACGTTATCCTTATACATCTATTATTATTCATAAGTAGCTATATTTTCCTTATATGTTATAGGTGTACATGCTGATATTTATGGATTTTTCTTAAAATAAATACTAAAATTTTCATATTTTTTTCTTCTCTTTTTTCTTCTTTATTGAATTTGAGTTTTTTTTTTAAGTAAATAATTAAAAGGAATTAGGAAAGAACTGAAAATGAAAAATTTTCAGTTCTTCAGTTTCTTTTTTCTCTTTGCATTCTTTACCCTTACCAGAATAAAGAGGGAAAACCAAAAAGAAGAATTACGCGTCTCATATCCATCAAATTCGAAATTTATTTTTGGTTTTCATTTTGAAAAGGATCGACATAAAAATACATTAATATTTAATACATATGCATATATATATAAATTGTATGTTCTATGTTTTTCTATTAATAAATATAAGAGTTTACAAGTTGTCTTACATTTTAAGTACCTATGTACGTAGGATTTTAGTAAAAGAATTTGAAGAAAATTTTCTTATTTGTTGATAAATTTTTTAAATGCTCTTATGATTTATTATGTTTTTTGTTTCTAAAAACATAATATAAATAAAATGTATATATGTATTTCAATTAAATTTTTGAAATGAATGTAGGGCAAGATTTTTCTACTCTATATTCAATGGATGATGTACATGAACGGAGCCGGTATTCGAATCTACAAAATTAAGACTAATTATGGATTTTCCTCCAACTATACCTTAAAAATTCGATTTATTTGTTAAATCTTTAAATAACTTGAATATATAGGTATTAGTCTAACTCTAGTACACCCTCTTTATAGACCTCATTAAGCCCATTTTTGGTTTAATAACAAAATTTTGTTATACATTGAAAGCGAGAAATTTTCTCCTGCGAAAGATTTTTTCCTTTTTAATACACCTATGCCCCTTCCAGCTTACATATTTACAGTCTTATTATCTAATATTATATTTTGGAGTATTTCCGTGTATTTTCGCATTTGATATTATGAACCCTTATTTATTCGGGATAAGAACAAGTTATGAATTGTTAAATAAAATTCACAAACATTAATTTATAGCGCACTTTGTACTTAAATTTTTTTGCCGAAAAAAAAACAAGAAGTATAGAATAAAAAATTTCAATATATATACTTATATACATGCATATATATATACGAGTATATATTTTTTTTTTCTTTTAATAGTCGTCTTATGATTTGTCAAAAATTTATTGAACCATATCAGAAAAATATTCAATAAATCACATCATAAAAATCACTCCTTCTGTATATTTATTATTATTAACAAATATATACTAAATAAAATGCCAATATAATATTAAAATGTACGCGAGTATTATGATCTATATAAGTCTAAATATGTGTATTCTTGTATAGATGTACGTGTATTTTAATAATGGATAAATATAATTTTCATTTCTCCTTTCTTAAGTTAATAAATATTTTCTTATCCATACTTTATTATTATATATCAATATTTCATTATTATATACGTTTGTATAAATATATATAAAGATATATATATATATATATATATTTATATGCATATTTTGTAAATAAAAGAATACAAATATATTGAGATTATGAAAAACTTTTTCAATAAATTCAAAAATAAATTCATTTATAAACATATATAAGATTTAGTAAAATCCTTTGCAAAAGGATGCTTATAATAAAGAAGGATAAGAAATAGAGAAGGCAAAAAAAAATAAATAATTTTTATACTTTTATGATTTCTCTTATGATTTTCTTCTTTTTTATATTTAATTTTGGTCTAAGAAAATTTTTAATTCTTTATTTTGAAGAAGAAAAATAAAGAACATTAAGAGAGCCTATGAAAAGTAGATTTTTCCTTATTATACCAAATCACATTGCAACAACAAAAGAGAGGAATATTGTATTCCTACGAAATTCCACATGTCAAATATTCAATGTATTTGTCTGCTGTGCGCATTTTATTGTGGAAGTAATAATAAATTGGTTTGCCAAAGATTGTGTAAACCCTTAGTACAAGCAATATTCAAAAGCATTATTCAAAAAGCCAATTTCATATTTTTACAGATTTATCTTGGGTTGAGAGTTTACTAATTTGTTGAAATTTAAAACAAGTTTAAATAAAATATTTGCTTATTCTATATGGCTCCCTTAACTCCCTTGCATATACAATATAAAAGATTAAAATGTTAAAAGATATACTGGTATTCGTGTTGTGTTTAAATCGCGGTCACTAGCCGATTGTGTGCTACTCCCATCCAATTCACAAACATCAGTTCGAAAAACAAAAAATTGTTTTTTTTTTTTAGCTTCATCTCTTCTTTTTAATTCTGTATTTTGTTTAGAACTCTTATACTCCAATGAATACATATATGTACATATGTAATATGTTTATGTATATTGTGTTAAGGGTGTATATTAGAAAAAAAATTATAAAAATCATGAAATCTTGTAATTAAACACTTCATTGGTTCTTGATTCCTTTTAAAAATTTTTTT